CTAAACACTACTGAGCAACAACTGAAAACATCAGTGTTATCAACATTCTTCACATACTGAACTCAAAACATAGCACTGTACCAGCTACTAGGAAGACAGCTAACTACATCCCAGCTGAAGCCAGGACACCCCATACGAGCTGATGACTTCAATTTTGTCCCAGGAAAGAAAACATACCTTATGGAAAGCTGACTCAGGGAAAAGGAGGGAAATAAGATTTTTGTAAGTCTGAGCTTCCCTGGGGATCAGCCAGGAGATCATACCCTATCAACATCCACTTAATACTGAGCATACCTGTCTTCTGGATATGTAACGTATAAATTTGCAGCCTGTCTTTTCAGTCCCATGACTGACAAGGATCTGGGTCATTCTTTATTTGGAATTAGAACAATCAAATGGTTTAAGAAGGCTATCAACACTGAATTATTCTTCCATACTAGAAGAATGGGTTTTATCAGCAGACCAAATAATTGCAGAAAAGCTAATGGAGAGTTGTGAGAGACTGAAAGAGTTAATGTCTCAAACATTGTGGTGGGGCAAGTTCTGCTTAAAGACAAACCCAGCATGGCAAGGAACCAAGGTCAAAAGCCCATCAGTTCAGACATCAGCAACAGGAGGGGGAGGGTGTGCTGGAGGGTGCCCAGCTCCCTGTTCTGATACAAAGATCAAACAATGGCCATGTCTGCAGGGAAGGAGAAGTTACTCCACAAACAACCCTCAAGCCCAAAGGCTCACAAACTGCTCATTAGCCTAATATGTTTGAGTGCCTGCCTGAAGGAGGGGCAAGGATGATAAAAGGACACTAACTGAGGCCCCAGGTGCGCAACCCCACCGGAATTGGACCCCTTGGCTGACTGAACCAACGCCGGACCCAGGACCAGTGAAATCTTTCTCTCTTCCTTTTTCTCTCTCTGCCTTCTTCTCTCTTTCCTTTTCCACAATCCCTACACCTCATCCCTTTAAGACATAAGGCCACTGACCAAGTCTGGGACTAAGAGGGCATCCAGCCGCCCTGGGCCCTTCTCTGAGGAGGAGTCTAGAAAGCAAGGCGGTCTGCTCTGAACTTCATGACTTGACAGGAGAGATCTCCTTATTCCCTGAACTGATGTGTATGGTTACCCTGGGTTACACAGTTTACAGAAGCAGTCTTACGCCAATTCCTGTTGTGAGAAACCCTGCCACCTACTACCATGCCTCCCCAGTTCAGTTTGCTTCTGTCATGAATAAAATCTTTAACTGATCATTTGGTGGTGTTTCACCTTAATTTAGCCCAGGGGAATTTTGAATTAAACACGACTCCCTGGTCTGTCCAGTCTGGGCTGTGACAAGAGTATACATATGGAGAGTATTCATGCCCAATTTCTCCTGATTTAAGTATACAAATGAAAATTAAAGAGTTTTTCTCTCTCTTTTTAGAAGAATGTTTTTTCTGTGGAAGGGTCCTGTTCAAAGACAGAGTGGTCAGTGCATGTAAGACAGGTACTCTGCTTTTGAACAGAGACAAGGTCAAGCGTAGGTAACTGATCTGTTATGGTTTCATCCTTAGCCTCACTCTCCCTGCCCCCTTCAAATATCATACATTACATTTATGTGCTTTGATATGAGAGAAAGGCATTTGATTAAGAAAATCCTTTACCAAGCCTGCCCTCTTTCTTCTCCTACCATGTTTCTCAATGCAGGGTGACGTGACACCAAGGTAACAATAAACACATCAACTCTGGAGAAACATAGTTTAACTTCCAGTGATCACAAAACCAAGGGTATGGTAGGCAGACTGAGAATAAGCAATCAAACTGATTGTTTGAAGATCCAGTACTGATTTGGATCTTCAGAACTTGATTCTGGTTTGAAAGTCTAGGTACTCAGCCACACTAGAAGCTATTACCTCCTGAAGTTGTATTTACAAGGGTCTACAGGTAGTAAACTACAAGTTATGTCATGATCATTCTTTTCATAGTCAAATAGTCACCTATGTAAGTGCTGAACAAAAGGATTAAAAAAAACCCCCAAACCAAAAAAAACCAGTTTCTAGTTCTGACTTTGTGCAAATAAGTGGAAAAAAAATAAACTCACTTGCAGGAAATTTTTGTGCGATCGGCCACCATAGTCCACTGCTGCTGATTCGTTGAAACCTCAATGTAGTAGCTGTAGCTCCGATCATCACAGTCCCAAAGTAGCAACCTAAGTACAAAGAAGTTGTTGGGTGATAAGTAAAATAAACTTTAAACCAAGCTGCTTAAGTCTTCCAGTCCTTTATTTCCTCCTCTTAATCCTTTATAAATTTAGCTGTTTCTTTTGGAACATCCCTCTAACACTCAACAAGGTCTTTACTGTTTCTGTCATCTCAAACTTGACTATCTCTATTTTTACTATCCTAAGGCCAGTAATAGACTTACAGGCCTATAATAACCATCTTACTAACATTAATCTATTACATTCAACCAATTACTTTTAATTTATTTCAAAGTCAATAAATGAACTAATTTATTTGGCATGTGGCATTGCCTGCTGTAAACCTGAATCAAAGATCTGTTTGGAAAGGTCAGTTTAAGAGGGGAAAAAAGATTCTGGTGACTAAAAAGATTACACTGTCTTCTTAAATGTATTCTCTTTTTTTTTTTTTTTGGTAAATCCATCAGAAATATTAAAAAAAAAAAAAAGCAAGTAGGAAAATGGGAATTCCCAGTCCTGGTTCATCATAATATGAGAAAAAAGGCAATGAATTGTTGACCAAATTGTTAAAAAGACAGAAGAAAAAGGAATAAAATAGAGGTCTCAAGGACTCATTCCACACTCATTCTAACAAACATGCAGCTCTTGAGGAAGGGCACTAAATAACATATTGAACAGCCTTCAATTTCCATACTTTTCTCTCAGAGAGGAAGATCTAAAGCATCAGTGATGTGATTTAACTTAAGTATATCATTCTCAAAAAACACATCTGCAAATATTGTGTCTTCTCTACTTCTTCTCTTTATATGGAGATTATCTCCCTGTTGTAAGAGATATTTGAAACCTCACCATCATTCCTCAATTTCATTTTATTTCTAAGGATATGAATTAAAGCAAAACCAAGAACCTTGCCTCTCCTCTCCCTCTCAGTGGATGGATTGAGATATGTGTACTTAGGAAAGATATCCAGCACAGAATGCCTTCTTTCCCCAAAACTATGAAAAATTCTATCCAGCATGTTTGCAAACCAATATGGAGCATTCTTTTTTCCAGTGAAGCATCTACAAATGACAAGAGGGTATTTAAACAACTTAAAGGGGCAATAGACTGGCCAGAACAGAGGCAGACACTTCTGCAATTTCTTCTTTAGAAGCAGTTAAATGTTGTCCATATTTTGATATAAATTCAATGGCAAACATGACATCAAAACCAAAATTTAAAAAATCTTTTCTATTTGAGTTAGAGGTGACTGAAAGCAAAAACCACATGCTGCATTTACCATTCTCTGAAATAATGATCTCTTGTCAACCCACCCCAAGTTTTTGAATTGTAATATTCTAAGTGAACAATCCACATTATGTCTTCATGGAAAATCATGTTTTGCTGATTTTATTTTTGTTAAAGCTCTTATTCCCTGAGCCCTTAATCAATACAGCAATGGAAAATAAATACTGCAATATATTGGCTGTTACCAACTGCTGTTGTCCCTCGATCCTCAGGTTCTTGTCAACACTTACTAGGATTACTGCTTAAGTCTGGCTATTTGTTACAGAAGCAAATGAACCTGCTGTAGTCAGATAACCAAAGCACAGCTAGCTACCCAAAATAGCTGTAACTGCAATGATTACCTAAATGAGAATAACTATAGCCACACACAGAGACAGAGAAGTGCAAAAGCCAGGTAATACGGCTAACCTGGCTTCTTTCTCAAGCTGTGAGGAAGAACTTCCACAGATCCGCATTTTTTAAAGTGCAATAGATAAGGATCCATTGATTATCAATGAAAATAGCTGAGACACGCACAAAAAGAAAAGGAACTTGTGCCCCAGTACAGACTTTCCCAGACACAGAGTTTCAAGCTGTCTCTCTTTAATTGCCTTTCAGAAGAGTGCCCAAGTTTTATATTATAAATTCCTTTCTTCCAGTTGAGAAAGTCTTTCTTGCTTTCAGCTGCTACCTCTTCTAGGAGGAACGTAACTGCAAAAATTATTGCTCACTTTCAACATTTAAAAACCAACACTGCTAGAGGGGGAAAATGACCTAGCCAGTTGCTGAATGCAGAATCCTTCCTCTTACAGAGAGATGCTGTCACAAGCAGAAGCGGGACCATCTTCGGAATTTGGTTATTAAGGACACATGTGTCTGTATCTTTGCCCTAAAAACCAGTGCTATTACCTTCTCTTCAAAACAATCTTGTTTAGCTCTGTTTTTTAGGTTTTGGAATCGCAGCATTCAAAGTGGAATTGGGTCTACTGGACAAGCAGATTTAAAATAAACTCCCTAGATGCTCTCAAGTGAACCCAGCTCATTAATATTATCAAAAATAATAAGCTATCAAAAATAGCTTTAAGATGCCAAAATAAAACACTTTTAGCAGAAGCCTTTTAGCACATATTAATACTGTCTATTTGCAAATTAAAAAATTCAGAGCTGACCTAGTTAAAAAAAAAAAAAAAAAGTTGCCTGTGGCATCATGAAAGACTTAAAAAAAACCCAAAACAAAACAAAACAAAACCCCAAAACAAAAAAAACCAAAACCCAAACCCCACACCCTAGAAGAAAACCACCCAACCCCAACTGCTCTCCCTCTGGTTCATCAGATCCTCCTCATTCTACTTTTCTATAGCCTGAAGGTCTCCAAACGCTGAAGAGACTGAAGTGCATTTTTTTTGTAAGAAAAAAAAAAACAATAAAAAAGTTTATGGATTAAAATCCTGGATTTGGTAACTACTAGTAATCAACAGAACCTGAACTGATTTAAGATCTGTATTTAAACGAAGCCTTCTAAGTGATAAAAAGAGGGTAAAGCAAAAACATACATAAATTTCCTTTCTTTTAAAAAGGCTATTAAAAAGTAGCTAATTATGCTTTTCAATAGGATCCTTTTCATCATGGGTGCTCAGTGTTGTTTCCTTGGTCCATGTTTTCAAAGCTATGATCAAGAGTTTGAATATCAGAAGCACACTGGTGACTGTAATTTCAACTAACAATACTCTAATTAAAACACAACTGACTTGGCTTTAGAGCAGAAAGCTAACAGGACATATGTGTTCCTTTTAAGAATGTGTATAATTGCTCTCTCCCAAAACAATGTAGCCCAAGTTAAATAGGTTTAAAAAGACACATGGCTTAGAATTATTACAAACTAAATAATGAATGAATGAAAGTTGGCACAATCTTTCCCAAAGTGACTTAGCATGAATGCTAAATGTAGATTTTTGTTTCTTTGGGACTTGTGAAAGAAAATAAAAAGTTCTTTCTTCACCTCCCTGCAGTAGCTTTTTTAGGAAAGACTGGGGAAGGAGACTGATGACAGAATCTATTTGGAATTTAGTCTGCATGAAATGCCTTTCTGGATAAGCAGTGAAAAACTTTCAGGTGATTACATGAATATTCACCAGTGCACACTGAGCACAAGGGCCACTTTTAATGCCAGGTACAGTAATCTTTGAAACATGTTCTAGGCAAACTACCAGGCTAAACTTTTGTAGAGAAGCTATGTTTTGATAAGATGGATATTAAATGACAGGAAGAAGAATATTCCACTTAAAAAGTCAGAACTATTCTCCTTGGAAATGCATCTGTTTATAGCAAAATTGCCCATGTTCCTACGACTTTCCATATTAGAATAAAAAGCTAAACTGGCTCTTGTTAGTAAATCTTGCCCTTAGGATTGAGAAGGAAAAGAGGAATGAAGCTTTATCCAGCTCTCTCCCTGCAACATTGTGAGATTTAAACATATTTCTCATATGCCACTTCTTTGGGTATCTAAAGTCTAAGCCTGTTAATCATTTAATATGGTACTGTTATTTACATCACATGCTGACAATGCCCCATTTTCTAAAATAAAAGCTTCTCAAATATAAATAAAATTTCATATTACAGGTGTGGGAAAGTAATTATGTTGGCTACCTGTTACATCAAAAGATGTTGCAGTATTTTTTTTAACAGTATTTCCCTAAATGTCATGTGTTGCCCTATGATTGATTGTTCTGCATTATATAGGCATTTTGTGCTGTCTCTGCTTGCTTTTCATTCTTAGATTTCTGTAAAAGAGATTCTCACTGTTTAGTTCAGACTGCTATATAGCTACATATACTCAAGGTTTTAGCAGAATATTAAACAATAATAGTCATGCACCTGACAGGATGATACCTGCCTCCTGAATACTTTAAGTCAGTAGTTACCACATATAGTATAAGCATTTGATAGTACTGTATTAATAAACTACTTGCATTCTTACAGAAACCCATAAGACAGAAATTAAAACATGAGGTAGCGACAGTTGCTGAAAGGTGGGGAAAAAGACAGAAAATAATACGGAAAGGTTTTTTTATACAATTGTCTTTGCATTTTTGCCTCTGGTTGTCTATAATCCCCTTTCATTTTCTGCAGATATTTTCAGTAGATATCTTGCAGGAAACCAATCTTTCTTCAGGATCCTACAAAGGAGACAGAATTCCTGCATATTTGCTATGTGCTTATATGATCATTTATTCTGAGTTACGATTTCACTCTCAAGTCAGGCAAGCATAGAAAATAAGCAGCAAAGAAAGAAAAAAACTTCATAAGCAGAAGCAGTATGGAAAATGAGAAAGCGTAAGAGATGTATATGATGATGGTAAGCAAATACAAAACACATTAAAGCTAATTGATTTAATTTGTTAATTTAAGAATTACTCTGAATATGAAAAAGCAAAGCAGTTGGCTATCACATATTCATATTAGTAAAAAAAGTCTTTGAATAGATTAAACTGGGATAAGTGGTTAATTTACTTTTACAAAGATGCAAAATATTTCTCTTTATTTAACATGAAAACCACTATGGTAAAGAAGAATTCTGTCTCCCTCCACCACATACACTGTAACAATTCCTGTTCTTTCTTTTTTTTTGTTTATTTTTTTTTTCCTTTCTTTCTTTTTTTGGAAGTGCATAGGAAAAAAAACCCAAACCCTAGGAAGTTATCAGCCAGAGACCGTAGCATCATAGTATTACATTTCTATTCCAGATAAATGCAGGGAGAGTTAGACCGCTATTATGATATGGCAACCTTTTCAATATTAAACTTTTAGCCATTTAAAGTTAAATAATGTTTATTATGTTAAACACACCAATTGCTGTCTTTCTGTTCCTAATTAAATGTAATAGTTTTTCTCTCATTGATAAGGGCCCTTTCAGAGAGGAAAAATAGCAAGGTTATTTTCTGTCCAGACAGGCAACAATGTTGAAAAAGTGTCTAAAGTAACATTTCCTCTGTAAACAGTTCCAAGTATCTTGTAAGCTGTTCCAAGTAGGAGTCTTGATAAAAGAACAAACCTCTTAAATAAAAAAAATGCTTTAATTTCTTTAATCTAGAAGACAATATTTAGTTACAATTATTTTAAAACAAAATCATAGAATCATAGAATAGTTTGGGTTGGAAGGGACCTTTAAAAGTCATCTAGTCCAATCCCCATGTTTTGAGGTCTTTTCTACTAGAAAATACTACTGAGAGCAGAGACTATCATTACATCTGTTTCAGAATTTCTGAGTAAATTTTGATGTGGAAGTCAAGAGCTCCAAATTTATATACAAATACCTGAAGAAGTATTTGATATTAACAAGGTTTCAACATGGTCTCCCACAGCATCCCTGTACCCAAGTTGGGATGTTACAGTTTAGATGGATAGACTACAACACAGGTAAAAATTAGCTAGATTGTTTAGCTCAACAGGTAGCAGTTAACAGTTCATCATCCACCCAGAGACTGGATGCAAGAGGAGTTCCTCTAGAGTCTATTCTGGGACCTTTCCTGTTTAATATCTTTATCAACAACCTGGACAAGGAGATGGAATGAGCCCACATCAAGCTTTCAGATGACAGCAAACTGTGTGATGCAATTGATACACTCAAGAGTATGGCTGCCATTCAGGAGGACTGATTGCCAGCCTCTAGAAAGACTAAGGACATGGGCAAAAAAGAACGTCATGAAATTCAGTAAAATCAAAAGCAAAATCCTGTACCTCAGACTAATCCACTGCAGCAGTAAATGCTACAGTCTGGCTGTGCTAAAAAGGACATGGGAGTCATACTAGAACAGAAGATGCCATTAGTTGCCTGTGTGCCTTCTCAGCAATGAAGGCTAGCAACACATGGAGCTATAGCAACAGGAACTGAGCCAGCAGAACAAGGGAAAGAGATTATTCTCCTTTACTTGACACTTGTTAGATCACATCAGGAATACTACATCCCATTTTGGACCCAACTACAACACTGACAGATCTGAGCAAGTCCAGCATAGGACTATCAAGATGATTGGGAGGTTAGAGCACACACACTGTCCAAGAGGCTGAGGAAATTGGCTTGTTTAGCCTAAGAAGGCTTGGGGTTGGAGAGGAACCTAACAGCACTTCTCAATACATGAGAGCAAGTTATCAAAAAGACTAAGCCAGGCTCTCCATCGAGATGCACAATGGGAAAAACAAAAGACAACAGGCAAAAATTGAAACAGGACGTTCCAGATGGACTAGAGGCATAGGAAAACAGGAACCATGAAAAAAAAAAAGTACACTGTGTGAATAATTAAACATTGGAACAGACTACCCAGAGAAGTTGTGGAATTTCCTTCCTTGGAGGTTTTCAAGACCTGAGTGCACAAAGCCTTCAGTAGGATGGTCTTTCTTCATAGCTTACCCTCCTTTGATGAACAGGCTGGGCTAGATGTCTTCCTCAAGTCCCTTCCAACCCAAATGGTGCTAAGATTCTAAGACAACAGGGTGACTTTTGCAGAACGCATGCATATAAGATATACTCCTGAAACATTAAATTCTCTATGCATTTCTAATGCATACTTGAGTACCAAGAGTTCTTCTGCCTTTTTCATACTCAGAATTTAGTTGCCATGGTAACACATTCTGACTTGGGAGGCTCTCTCCAGTGGTATTCTGATTTCTATACACTGAAAGCAGCTACTACCTTTTTTTCAAAGGCTTATGTATTTACTCTCTCTGATACAAATATATTCAATGGCACATTCATGCCTCTGAACTTAGAAGATGTGTACTTTAATTCCCAATTATTCATTTAGAATCCAAACCCACAGGTCTAATGACTCAGTTTCTGGGGTAGAGCAATTCATGTTGTTCTGCAGTCACAGTGTACAGCCAGCCTAAAGAAAATGCTCCGGAAAATTTTTTTCTATTAGATGGGAGGGTGAAGTCAAGGCAGTTTTCAACCAAGGAAACAGCAGGAAAACAGGCAATGAATACAGTTCAATCAGTTGTGGAAAACATTCTGTTCAAAAAAATCTCTTGCTTTCATTAAGATGCAATATTAAGGCTTTTTACTCTAATCTATGTTTATATGCGGTTTGATTTCTGTACCGGTCACAGATTTCCTAGTGCTAAATAAAGAGACCATTGTCACCATCTTTAGCATCGCACAGTACAGGACATATTCTAGACCCTACAGCCAAAGCTGTAGCTGCCACATAGTGAAACCTCACTTCCTCACTCAAAAGGGCATCTTTCCCTTGGCCGCCTATGATCTGCAACAGACATGGCTGCAACTCAAAACACTTGTTTTTCTAGGCAGAATGCAAAAAGGGAAAGATGACATAGTGCTAGAATTTCTGTCTCTAGGTAATGCAGGTAGTCTCCTCTGTCAGAATATACCCTAGACAATGGTGTTTATTATTGTTGTATTTTAAGGCAAGTTGTTCATCTTGTTTGTACTATACATGCAGGAAAGCTGACAAGGAAAGATGAGATTCTGATCCTATACCTGTACAATGAAATACCACATAAATCACTAAATGCCTCTTAGTTTTAAATTATGTAATGTTTGGGGCTTTTTTTAATTTGCTCTACACACTTGCTAATTATACAATTATCATTTCTTTGCAACCAGAAATCTAGTTCACCTAACACACTCTTTAATAATGAGACTTATTAAAAATCTTCTGCTCAAGAATAAACACTACCATAGTATTTAATATAGAAAAGTAATTTTTTTTGCACTGACTTCAAAAGATAGTATGATTCACCAATTGAAAGACAGCAGAAAATCATAAGATAGGAAGACAGAGACTATGAACTGAGAAACTATGCATTTCAGTTTTATATATTCTTCTCTTACTCCTTCATGTGGCCAAAGCTTCTGCTGCTACCTAAATTTAAGTTTAAAGTGGCATGAAAATGATGCAATTACATTTTCAATTACCTCTTAAGAAATCTGAGTACTCTGTGTTCCTGGTTTTCTACTTGAGATGCAATACTTAATTGAACATTAAAAACACCAAACTCAAAAGCATAAAACATTGAGCATGGAAAGCTGCCAACTATACTTATTCAACTTGCTTCACACAGTGAGAACAATGCTGGACTTGCACTATGCATAACATTTATAGCTAGTATACAGACAAAACAGTACTTTTGTTAGGTTAGAGATTTGCCTGCATGTCTGATTTTAAACTTTATCTTCAAAGTTTTATAACCATATTAACAATGCCATAAGCCAAAACCAAAGTACACCAAACAGAAATTGGCAGTTATAAAAGACCTTTCAAGTCTCACTTGCTCATCAGTCAGTTTGAAGAGGCAACTCTTAACAGGCAGATGGCACCAAGCTAGTTCCTAGCAATATGTACATATGTACACCATCTCTGTTGCAAGCCAGTACCTCACCTGAGGTTTCAACCTTTGCTCACTGGTACTCTAACTTCAGAAACCTTTCTCTTTTTTTCCATTGTCACAGAGAATACAAATTAAGTCTCTGACAACATATTCTAAATTTACAAAGAATAGGAAGCCACTTAGACAAGGTTTTGTATGTCTGATTTTATGAAACCAAAAAAACAATTTACAGTCAGAGAATCTGAAATTGGCAAGAATAATCTTCACCTGTGAACAATCCCACTCTCCAATCTATTTCCAAAGTTTCTACATTAGCCAAAAGTTTGTTCTTCATATGTATACAGACATTCACTGTAGAAATAGCTCAATGAACTCAAATCCAGATCTGAACACATTCATTAATCCAACACTGTAAAGTAATATTCAGGTTACTGTACCGTTATTATACACTCCATGTTCAAGTAAGAACTGGTATTAATTGTATAGTGAAAAGGAAACCTGGCTTACTCGAGATGATGGCTTTCTTCAATAAATGTTTCTGTTTTCACAATGAGGTGGATATGAGGAACTGCACCTACTTTGACCACAAGTGAGGCTGCAATTAGATTTCTATTTTAATATAAGTATATATCTTTAATCTTACAATTTGACTATTACTATTATTATGCATCTGAAATGTAGCATCTTCTGGAATTGCACTGCTGTATCTTGACATATAATTCACACATTTAATTTTTAACATGCCAGTTATACTGAAGTAAGAATCCAAATGACAACTACTAAACTAGCCCCCTAATTACCATCATTTCCAAATGTCATATACTCTAAAGAAAATAACTGTGCTCAGCAAAAGTTTCACTGTTGCCCTTAATTTAGAGAAAAATAAACCCTCTTACCTTATTGATCCAATCATGTAGGGCTGTGCTAGCTGTACTACAATAGCTCCGCTCCCAAGCTGATGGCATGTGTACCCAGAATCCCAATCATAGTTTTTTGTGTCTCCATTCAATAAGGCATTGCGACTGCGACTTACACCCTCAATCACACTGGCACAGTCTGCAATTGTTGCAATGTTTTCAGTGGGAACTGTGAATTAAAAACACAAAGACAACAGACAGTCAGAAAACAGTTCAGATACCAATGGTCTTTAATTCTGGCAAAGAATTAGGAAAAAGAAAAAAAAAAAAGGATGAAAGTATGATCAAATATGGAAATATAACTCTTATAGAACATGAACTATGAAGCAGAATCAAGAGGTACAGATAATTTTTATAGCATTGATCCCAGAATAGCTTGGTAAATTAACAGATGGATTTCTGTCTTGGTGAAAGCACTCTTTTAATACAATTGGGGAAAAAGAGCTTGTCCAGCAAAACTTCCCAAATTTTCAAACAATTTCTTCCTGTTTTCATGATAAACCCTCCACCCCGCCACTCCCCTACACCCCTCCCCCCCCCAAAAAAAAAAAAAAAAAAAAGAGAGAGAGAGAAGAGAGAGAAATAAGTGGGAGATAGTTTAAAGCACTGATCTGGACTGTAGGAAGTCAGGACCAGGGCTTGAAGTCTTACAGCTCAGGAGGCTATTCTCTACACATACCTGATGGTACTTCTGACAGTCTCTCTGACTGTGATGAGAAATTGCACCCCAGAATTTAGAAAGTGAAAATGCTTTTTAATACTTGCAAACCCCTTCAACACAAGTATTGGACTACAAGATGGAAGGAGACACCAATAGGTCTGCCATACAAATGGAACAGCAAGCGCAGAAGTACTTCTCATTCCGTCCAGAGACAGGAAAAAGGTATGACTGACTGCCACAAAAAAGAAATTATAAAATCCCAACAGCAAAAGAAAAGATACTACCTAAAACCCATCCTCTTGAAATTCAGTTCTTCCTTCTCCCTGGTACATCCAAAACTGAACGCCCTAGCTTGGAAACTGCTGTTATAAACCAAATTAGGTAAAGCATAATATAACCTTTTAGTAGGCATTTTTACAAGCAGGGGAACATTACATACTCGGGGGGGGGACGGGGACGGGACCCCCGAAAAAGTAGCTTTGGGAGTTGTTATTCTTTAGCAAAGGACATAACTTTAGTGTTGGCTTCCAGAAAACTTTCTAAGGAGAAGAATGCTCTTCTTGTACTTACTTAGTCCTGCTTAATGTGATTTAAATCCAATGCTAAGTAGTTTCCCCCTTCCTTTCAAATCAAACACAATTCATATTATAGCTAGAATTTGACATAATTTCAGCAATTTCATCAAAAATCAACAACAGCAGCTCCTCCGGGAGCAAGCTGTAATAAGGAGGTGTATTTTCTTGTGCATATAGTACTTTTCCAGCACTGTTTTACAAGTGTATCAACACTTGTTTTTGGAATTACCTATTATTTCCCTTTGTGAACGTTTAATCAAGTATGGTACTTTCTTTCTGTTTGTAATTCAGAGAGAACCCCAAGCTTTTTGAACGCCACCTTCCAGCAAGATAATGGACGGGAAAAAAAAAAAAGCTATTTAAGACACCCTAGTCATGTCCAGCACTTCCCTAAAAAGCTCAGTTTTTAACTAACATCCTCCACCTTTCAAACTCTCCCTATTCTCTCTTTCAATAAAAAAAAAGAATATTAACAAGGCTGAAAAATGATGCTCTCTGAACATGTAAAAATCAAGGTTGTCTGTTGAGCCTTTGTTTTTTGGGGGAATGTGTTGAAAGCACTGATCGTTTTATCTAAATGATAACAAAAATTCTTTCAGCACAGGCTGTATTAAAAAAAAAGTTAAGATTTTGTGTGTCAGCCTCTGATAAAAGACAACCAATCTGTGTGGTAATTCAATTTAAAAGAAAGAGGAAAAATAAGTTACCAAAAATTATCTGAATAACAATGATTACCTTAATAAAGTTTCCAAATTCACAATATCTCATACCAAAAATTTTTGAAAATCAGAAGAACAAAAAACAAGCCAAAACAAAAATGGCACAAAAAAATTGGAAATACAGAAGACGTAAACCCAACACTATTAGAATTTTCACGAAAAAACAAATCACGTATAGTACAGATGTAAATGTACCATTTTAAGCCCTCGGCACACTGATAACTTAATTACATGCTTTTAATAGTTGTCTGTCAAATATGTATTTAAAATACTACAACATCTGAAAATGGTTGAAATATAGCTATGTGAAATTTCAGAGCTAATTGTAAGAGTCTCCAGCACCCAAAAAAGAGATAATTTTCCATGAAGAGCTAAGATTCTGTGTTTTAAGTGTGCTAGTGGTGTCAGGAGCATAATCTTAAGAAAACCACCAACCAACCAAAACACCATAAGACACACAGAAGGAAAAAAGTGTAAGCTTGTTGCTAAGTAATAGTCCAAGGCAGTGGAAAAGCAATGGTTTCTGAAAAATCTACCGCACTATCAAATGTAGTATCACCTCTGCTCAAAAACAGCTGCTAAAACCACCATATTATTATTCTAGAAACCTCTTGATTCCCTATTACTGAAGAGACATTCAGAAATACCCAGATTAGAATCATAGAATCGTTTAGGTTGGAAAAGACCTTTAAGATCATTGAGTCCAACCATCAACCATGCCCACTAAACCACATCTTGAAGTGCCTTGTCTACACGGTTTTTTTAACACCTCCAGGGATGGTGACTCCACCACTTCCCTGGGCAGCCTGTTCCAATGCCTGACAACCCTTTCAGTAAAGAAATTTTTTCTAATACCCAATCTAAACCTTCCCTGGCACAACTCGAGGCCATTTCCTCTTGTCCTATCACTAGTTACTTGACAGAAGAGACCAGCACCCACCTCACTACAACCTTCTTTCAGGTAGTTGCAGAGTGCGATAAGGTCTCCCCTCAGCCTCCTCCTCTCCAGATTCTTATGGAGGAGCAGGTGGTAGACATTAGAAGTACTTCACCGGGAACAATCTGAATAAAGCAAAGACTAACAATGCAAACTAAAAGTACTGGCATCAAAATAAAGTTTGCCTTGGCTTCCTTTTCTTCCCCTCTTCCCTGGCAGTAAGGAAACTTCTCTGAGTATCCATTTTATATAGGCATTAAAGCATCTTCTATATATTGCTGCTTTTTGTAGGAAGAGGAAGCTACTGAAATCTTGGTTAAAAAAAAAAAAAAGATGAAGTGTCAAAATCAGTGTTCAAGTTGAGGTTCTATCGCATGCTCTGGACACCCTCTGAGCTATGTAAAGGCCTTAATTGAACACAGTACAGCTCAGTTCATCCAATATTTTATCTGCATGCCCTCTGAGCATCATCCCACTCCTTCTCACATTTAAATTTCTGCACTAATTGTGACCTCCTAAGAAGATGTTACCTTGATTAGTCAAACTCCTTAACAACCGCACGGGAACTGTCTTAGTGTGTTTTTAATACCATTCTGGTCTTCCCTACAATGGTTAATTAGAAAGTGATTCTAACTAATTGCAGTGTGCAGAAGGTACCATTCTGTTCCTTCTCTCTAGGAAGGTCTGCCACTCCCTATTTTGAACGTTATCATCTTTTATATCAGCTTGATAAATTTATTAAAAATACCATCTGGTGGGGACTCTGCTCTGCGCTGTATTTTCAAGTCTTCTGGGTCTCTTCCTTTTTCTTGTTAGAATTTCTGCTGCAATTTAGGTCACTTGTTAACAAAAAGATACTGCCAAAACCAACAGTCTTGTTTCTATTTCTTTTTTTTTTTTTAAATCTGCCAGCTATCCAGCTTTTACAGTAACCCATGTTGTAAGAGAAAACAAAAGAGGGGATTACAAATACAGAAATTCTTTTTTTCCACTGTTCGTACAGCAGTTTTGCTCTGACAAATCTGATTTGCTTTTATGGAACAGAAAAGTTGTGCGTCAGGAAAGCATACACATTCTGTAAGCAGACAAAAGAAGATGGTCGAGGGCACAGGACAGCTGTATCAAAACATTCATTAAAATGTACTTTCTTGTCTCCTGGTCTTATGCTGCAGTATGGAGCGACGAGCAGCTTAGCAGTATATTTAATTCTAGTAATAGTATTTTTAGAAGACTTTGTAATTTTCAAGGCATGGCCTAAAGGCTATCTATTCTGGCTATACTTAAAGATGAGACAGATATGTTATTCAACTGTTCTTAGAGATTCCCCCAGGACAAAAACATACCAGGAGTCTGTGGTAGCCTCAGTCACATTTGTTTATTATTCCTTAAGGTTTTGGTTGGTTTTTTGTTTGGTTTTGGTTTTCCTGCCCTCCCTTAATCTTTAGCATACTTGACTTTCCATAGGAATTGTTTTTTCCCTGAAGTACTCAGGAAAAAATTAATACAGCCATTATTAACTGGCTTCCATATCCAAGTGTAAAGTACTTTCTTTCATCTCCCAGTCTGGACAGGTCAGATTTTGCTTTCTGCCCATCCACTGTAACTTCACTGCAATCGATAGGCTAACATGGGGAAAAGAAAAGACAGAAAAATCCTCAAATAACTCTCTGCAACACAGGAAGAAACAGAACGGAGTGGGCTCCTGCACCAGCCCACAAAACCAGCCATTAACAAACCTTTATTTAGTTACTAAAATAAACATACAGAGAAAGTGCAGATCTACTAAGCAGCCTTATTTTATTGGCAAGCAGTAATTTACAGAATTATGGACTGTTGAATATATTTATACTGCAGTCTAGGCAACAGTCAAGTCAAAGGTTCTCAGCTAAGTGTCATCATTGCAATACAACTGTTCATTTTACTGAATTCTCTTAAGACACAAAACCATCACTTTGTGAAGAAACTATAAACAAGACATTATACTAGAAGAAATAAATTTTTGTTTTAGTTAATATGAATAAGTCGTTTTTTTGTCATGTTAACATCCATTAACTGCTCAGCTTTCAATTACTCCATTTTTAATGGTAAAATTGCACTCCTTCTCTACCTGAACATCTACTGAGCTGACAAAAGTTTCCTCACTACAAAGTGACAGTTAGAAAAAAGAAAGCTGAGAGCAAAGGAAGGGAAAAAAAAAAAAAAAAGAATTAGGGATGTCACTATTATTCCAGGGTTTGATTTTATTGTATTAAATTAATTAAAAGCATGTTGGGCATT